AACAAAAGAACTGAAATCAATATGGCTGAATTTAATAATCATTATAATATGAAATGTTTGACAACCTTTGGTTTTCATTTTCATTAAAATTTTAGGGTGGACAAATTAGCCCAAATGAAATATAAAGGACACTACAAAAAAACAGTTCCTTTCCTTTCATTTAAAGTGGTGCAAGGCAAACAAAAAAACGAACTCATACATAATTTGTCATACCAATCACAAAAGATTTGTAAAGTCATTCAATAAACTTTAAGCTAATTAACTATAGGATATTTTGAAAATATTCAAGTAAAAAATTTGTATCAGATATAGCCGACCGTACAACACAGTATATTAGGTGTTCAAACCGTATAGCCAAGACTAGAATCTAGATCAGACTATATTATAGACACTATAGACCGGACTGAAGCTTAGATTAAAGACCAGACTAAATCCTTGACTTTACACTCGACTGTAAACCAGATTATTGTCTAGACTATAGAACAGACTATAGTCTAGATAATTGAACAGTTTAGATTGTAGACCATTATATATTATAGACTAAAAAGCCAACTACCAGACTACAGTTTACACAATTGACTAGATTATAGACATGACAATTGAGTATATACTAGACTAACTATTAGACTCTAGTATAGACTATAGACCAAACTAAAGTGTAGTGTTTAGACTATAGACCAGTTTATAGTCTAGACTATTTTTCCGACCAAACTTAAATATAGATTACAGACCAGAGTAAAGTCTAGTGTATAGACTATAGACAAAACTATAGTTTGGGCTAAAGTATCTACTATCGACCAAACTATAATATTTTCGGTAGACCAAACTATAGTCTAGAATATAGATCAGATTATAATCTATACTGTAGACTAAATTATAATCTAGCCTATAGTTTTGATTAAAATCTAGACTATAGTCTATATTATTGAACACACTATAGATTAGATATCATTAGATATTATAGAATATATAGCTATATTATACTATATATTATAAGTAGACTATAAACTATATACCAAGTCTAGAATTTAGACTATAGTCCAAACATTAGTCTAATTTATAAACCAAATTATAGCATCGACTAACGACCAGAAAAAAGTCATGTCTACAGACCAGACTATAATCTAGACTATAGACCAAACTAGATCCGAACACTAAAGTTTAGACTATAGAACAGACTAAAGTCTAGAATGTCGACAAAAGTATAGACAAGACAACAGTATACTCTACAGGCCGGACTATTGTGTACACTATAGACTGGCCTATAAACTAAGCTATAAGCAGGACTATATTATAGACTATAGATCGGACTATAGTCTAGACTATAGACCGGATATGGTTTCTGTAAATTCAGTCTGAACAATAGGACAAACTACATATATTGTTGACCAGATATATATTAAAGACCAAACTATAGTCTAGACTATAGACCAGACAATAGTCTAGACTAAACTATAGTTCAAACTATAGACCAGACTATGGTGTGATCTAGACTATTGACCAAACTATAGTAGTAGCTACAGACTGCACCATAGTCGAGAGTATAGACTAGATTATATGTAGTTAAAAGTAATTGTTACAAACATTATCATAAATTCACAATACCTTCTACTGCTATATAGTGTTAAAAACAAAATGATGAATTCTATTAAAAGGGGTTTTTGGTGCAATAATACTATACTCAATCGTACTTGTACAAAATTAAATTGATATGGTTTCTTTGAATTCATGTTTTGTAAATTTTTTTTTCTTTAACAAATTTGCAATTTTTTGCATTTAATTTGAGTGAATGCAAAATAAAAAGGGCGTTTTTGGTAATGCAGCTGCAGTTTTTTTAAAGGGTAGATTTTAAGTAAAAAAAAATATTATTTATTATTTGCACTTAAAAGCACAGCTTTAAAAAATGGTGATTATCATATATATAGACAAATAAAAATCTATTATTTAACAAAAAAAATCTTGAAAATATCAAAAAATTTTCTTAAAATTAACAAGACCTTTTCTTTATATACAATTTTACTACTGCTTAAATACAATTTCAAAACGATCATATTTCAAAGTACAAATTACGAAAAACAAAAAAAATATATATGATTGAAAACCTACAAAAGAATTTAATTCATTCACTTTTTATACCTTTAAAAGACCAAAAAAAACTTAATGCTTACAAAGGTAATTAACCCGGAATTAGTTCTTGTAGTATTTTATTCCTTCATTCAAACATTTCTTATGTGAAAATCGCAAAAACAACGTACTATTTTCGAAACAGCGATATCGATTTCACAGTAATTACCTTTTGGCTATAATACCGCAACGATAAAGAGACAGAGGGCCTGATGACGATTAGGTAGGAAGACCGAATTAAATCGGAAATACAAAGTAATGTGATATTTTTGTTGGTTTTCTTGTTTTACGATATTGCTAGTTTTAAAGTTTTTGTTTTTTTTTTTTATATATTTGTGATTGTTGTACAGGATATTTATTCATATGAACTAATCTTTTTAAAAGGATAAAAGCGGAACTTTTGATATTATGACATAAGCCATGGGGAATGTATTTTGTATAACATGTGTCTTTAATATAAAAATGTCTTTAATTTAAATTATAATTAAACATTCAAATGATCTCAAAGTGAACTATGGTTTATTCTACACTCTTGACTTATATTATAGCCTATAGTGTAGACTATAATCTAGACTTAAGTCTGGTGTATAGTCTATACTGGTCTATAGTCTAGATTTAAATCTAAACTGTAGTTTAAAGTCTAGAGTATAGCGTATAGTGTAGACTATAATCTAAACTTATGTCGGGTGTATAGTCTAGACTATAAACAAGTCTACACGAACTATAGTCTAGATTATGTGCTAAACTATAGTCTTAACTATAAACTAGACGATAGTCAATACTATAGGCGAAAAACTATAGACCACACTATCTAAAGCTTAGCCTATATTATAGACTATATATCCAACCAGGCTAAAATGTAGACTATAGACCAGCCTAAAGTGTAGTGTGTACACTATAGACTAAACTATAGTCTAGACTATAAACCAAATTATAGTATCGAATATCGACCAGACAATAGTCTAGACTATAGACCAGACAATAATCTAGATTCTAATCTATAGATCAAACTATTTTCTAGACTATAGATTCGAACACTAAAGTTTAGACTATAGACCAGACTAAAGTCTAGACTATCGACAAAACTATAGACAAGACAACAGTATATTCTACAAACCGGACAATTGTCTACAACATAGACAGGCCTATAAACCTCACTGCGCTAGAGGTAGTACTATATTATAGACTATAGACTGGACTATAGTCTAGTCCACAGACCGGATATGGTTTCTTTGAATTCAGTGTGGACAATAGGGCAAACTATATTGTAAACCGTAGACCAACCTACATTTGACCAGTCTATACTCTTGTATGCATTCTAGACTATAGACCAGACAATAGTCTAGACTATAGAACAGACTATACTGTATAGACTATACACCAGACTAAAGTTTAGAGGTCATACTATAGTCCAAACTATCGACCAGACAATAATCTGGACTATATACTGTTGACCAAACTATAGACCAGACTAAAGTCTAGACTATAGAATAAACTATAGTCCAAACTATAGACCAGACTACGGTGTAGACTATAGACAAGACTTTGGTCTAGAGTCTAGACTATTGATCAAAATATAGTAGTAACTACAGACTGCACGAGAGTATAGACTAGATTACTGTTTAAAGTAGGTGTTACAAAAATTTCAAAACATTTTCGTTCACTAGTTCAGTCTATATATAGACTATAGTCAGGACTGGCAAAAATTTAATGGTTATTGCATTCAAATTCTACTGTTGACATTGTTCATATTAAATGCAACGATTTGTCACAAATATTGACATGAATATCACACCTTTAAATATTATTTTGTAAACCCTTAAAATATTCATAAAAAGACTGCAATAAAAAAACTTATTTTAAGGCGGAATCATGGAAGGCCTCTATAATTTTATTAATGTATTAAAAGTTTTTTTTTAAAAGAAAATCTATTCGAAATAATTTTGAATAAATGAAGCGAAAAATAACTAATGTATTAACTAGTTCTTTTATTCTAGTTTTTGAAAAATGTTTTAAATCAGTAAAATTTGTATTTTTACGTGATTTTGACAGCTTAAAAATTACTCATCAATTTGAAATTAATTTATAATAAGACTGCGAGTGGCCTTTCATCTGCAAGGCCTTTTAGAAATCTTTGACTTGCGCTAAAATAATTGCTCCCACTCTCTCTCTCTCTCGCCAAGCACACACTGGAAATGTATTAAAATTATTGATGCTGTTTTCTGCATTTGAATGCAGAAAATCTCAAATAAATTCACAAAACAAACAATTATATGCAGCGCAAACAAAGCACGACGACACAGATTTGAATTATTGCATTTGTCAGGAAATGACAGCTTTAGGAGACAGACTCAACAGCAAGAAATGCATTAGCAGCAGCATCATAATTATATTGCTGAGGAGCAATAAAGACAAATTTAAAGCAAATTTGTAAAGGAAGAGATGCAGAGAATAAATCTTAATTAAACAATGTAATAATCTGAGTCAGTTCTATTAAATTTGAGACAGATCTGAACGTTCAGCAACGGCTCAATAAAAAGGCGCTATTTGAAACTTTAAACATAAAAAATTTACTAAAGTCTACTTTTAAATTTCACAATTTTATGATTTTTTTTACTTTTTTAGTTATATATATATATTTTTTAATAAAAAATATATTTCATCGCTATTTTAATATTTTACCCTTAATAAACCCTTTGGACTTTTCTCAGATTAAGTTCGATTGTATAACAGTCTATAAAGAAAATTTAAAAATCCGTTAAAACCCCTCAAAGTACTGATAAACTCTAGTAAATCTGGCAGCCTTCAAATAATAAGAAAACTGCTATCAACCCTATGGTGAATGACAAGTGGAACAAGAGGAAGAAACCCTTGTTTACATTTTTGTTTTTGCATTTTTCTTCAGCACAAAGCCCAGTATTAATTTATATTTGTTTGTTATAAAAAAGTGGAATAAACCCAATAAAAATTAAACAAAATATGGCAAATACTATAGATAAAGTACGCATCATTATAGTGGGAGATTCAGGTGAGTCGAATATTTATTTAGACACAAAATATTCTTATAATTTTGAAACTCTTAGGTGTGGGCAAAACTTGTCTTACTCATCTTATAGCTCACGGCGAAAGTCTTACCCGGCCAGGCTGGACGGTGGGTTGCAATATAGAAATCAAGTTACATGAATATAAAGAAGGTACTGCTCAACAGAAGCCCTATTTTATAGAATTATTCGATATTGGTGGTTCGTTGAGCCACAAGAATACCAGAAGTGTTTTTTATACACCCACCCATGGCATTATTTTGGTACATGATCTAACAAATCGTAAAAGTCATAGTAATTTACGGGAATGGCTATTTGAAATCTTGAATAAAGAAGGCAAAGATACCTATAAGGGAGGCAGCAGTATTGCTGGTAATAGTGGACAAACGGCATGTTTAATAAATGATGCCAACGGTTTTGATCCCGAGGAATTTGTGGGAGCTACTCAAATACCAATTTTAGTAATGGGCACAAAACTGGATTTGGTCGATGAGAGAAGGCAACCGAAAACAGTGCAAAAAGCCGGCGGCATAGGTAAAAGTAAATATAGTTTTTCTATTTTTAACCCAAAATTAACAAAAAATAGTTTTTAAGCATTGCTGGGGAAGATAAAAGAATGGGAAAATATCTATATAACAATAACCGCTACTTACAAAAAATTATTATATACCTAGTAAATTTTTTTATTAATAATAGATTTGTACATGTATTTTTAGCCGAACAATGTGGTGCCGAAGAAATTTGGCTTAATTGTCGTGATCCCCGCAGCATCGCTGCTGGTACTACCGACGCCGTTAAACTTTCTCGATTTTTCGATATGGTCATCGAAAAAAAGCAACAAACTAGAGAAACAGGATTTTATAGCTCCGGCTCATTAACCGATCGTCGTCGTTATAATACGGCTTCGTCATCATCGCCCCAAGGTAGTCCCACCATAATTGCAACTGCGAATATTTGTGGCAGCGGCAGTAATTATAGTTCTCCCGTGGGAGATATTAGACCTACAGCAAAAATGCAACCAGCCTATGGAAATGTCTTAATGGATTCAAATTCTTAGTTTTAAAGTAAAATGTTATTCCATTTTTTTAATTTTTGCTAAATTTATAAAAATAAATGTACCTATACTACAGTAAAAACGTAATAAAACTTATCTGATTACCACTCAACTTATCTAAAATTGATGGAAAAGTTTTATGAACATTATTTATCTCTTGAAGACAATAAACTTTAGAATTTTTGTACTTTTGTAAATTAAACTACTTGTGTGCAATTTAAAGCTTTTTAACTCCCCTGGAGCATTTCAATCGAATTTTTTATTTAATAAAAAATTTCACATAAATTGTTCAAGAATAAACTATCCAACAGTTAGCTATTTTTAGCCTGGTGGCCATTGCATTTGACGACCACCCAAGAAATGCAAATGTAAATGATACACTGATTGAGCACCATGTTTGCCGTTGTTGATGACCACACGATAACCGTCCTCCAAACCCAACTGCTTGGCTACCTTACTGCCCACCAACATCAGATGTCCCAATAAATTGGCATCGGCTTCCTCCGCCTGCGACAGCATTACAATGGGTTTGCGTGGTATAACCAAAAAATGGGTCGGTGCCTGTGCATTGATGTCGTGGAACGCAACACATTTATCGTCTTCGTAAATGAAATTACATGGAATTTCTTTGCGTAAAATTTTACCGAAAATTGTATCTTCGGCTGGTGCGGCCGATTGGGCCTTATCAACTTCACTTGCCATTCCGACCTTGCAAATGGTTGGCAAATTATAAAGACTTAACAAGAAAACTTATTAGTAATTATTTTATTTATTTAATCAGTTATTTTATGCGTATCCTTACCAGTTTTTCCTTATAATTAACCGGCTTCGTGAAAGTAAATTCAATAGACTCATTTATGTCAAATTATTCTAGATTCATTGGTGTTAATTTAAGTAGTATATTATTTAGTACTTTTCAGGGTTGTAAATTTTTTGTATGACAGCAGTTTGATTTATTTCTATATTTGCTGATTTCTTGACTAGATTTCATAAAGCTCCCATACAAATCTTCAAATTTACTCTCGGAAAATGAATATATTTTTAATAGGTCCCTCTAGAATGTCAATATTATGAAAAATTTTGCCCATATAAATCTAATATCAATTAAAATTGTATTTCCAATTAAAACTGGATCGGTCCATAATTAGCATAGCTCCTATATAAAGTTCTCTTCCGATAATGAATTATTCGTAAATAACAACCGAATTAATAATGATATCGGGATCAAATTTTACTCGATTATGTTTTGTATATATACATGTCATTCTGCAACACCTTATCCAGAACGGTCCATTACTTGTTCATTATTTAAATTTTCAAAATTTATAAAGTGTATATTTATATACATAAATATTCGAAATGTATTTAAGCTTCGACATAGCCGAATATAGTACTCCTATTTGTTAAATATATTTTTATTATTTTTAATAATTTTAAACTAATTTACATCAAAAAACTAAAATTTTTAAGTTTAGCAAAAAAAATAATTTTACCATCTGGCATTATCAAAATTCTCAGTTAATATTTTTTCATCTGGCATCTCTTAATTGCAATGTTTTTCTTTAATTCCTTTTTGTGTTTTCGCGTTTTTCTACGCATTTCGTTAATGCACCCAGTATAAACAACAATTATAAAAAATACGTGATTTTTTCTTATATTAAACTTAATATTTTAAAATAATACTTGTTTTAATCAAAAAAAATTGTACCAAAATCGAAATATAAAATGGAATTAGACTGGCAACATGAATTCTATGAAATAAAAGATCGTGGTTTGCATTTGTTGCAGACTGAAAAATGGGCCGATTGTCGTTTCCTGGTTGGTGGTGCACCACCAAATCAAAAAATCATTGCTGGCCATAAACTTATCTTGACCATGGCCTCTCCGGTCTTTGAGCGTATGTTTTATGGTCAGTTGGCTGATAAAGATGATCCTATTGTTATACCCGATGTGCAGCCTGATGCTTTTCAGGCCATGTTGGAGTATATTTACTCTGATCGTATTAATATCAGTTCATTCGACAAGGCCTGTGAGTTGTGTTATGTAGCTAAGAAATACATGTTGCCGCATGTAGTGGAACAATGTACGCGTTTTTTGTGGTCGGATTTGAGTCCGAAAAATGCCTGCCGGGCTTATGAGTTTGCAAAACTTTTCGATGAGCCCCGTTTGATGCAAAGTAGCATGGAGGTAAGTACAAGAAAGTAAAGCGATAGTTATGATTAACCTGTTTATACTTAATTATTTAATTAGTTAATAGCTGGTCATACCCGAGAAGTTTTGGCTGATCCCAGTTTCATGGATATTGAAATGTCTACTCTAATGGCCATTTTAGATCAGGACAAATTAAATATAGATTCTGAATTGGATTTATTTAATGCTTTGCTACGTTTCGCCAGCGAAAGGGGCATGTTTAGAGATGAATCCTTGCAAAACAATGCCCAAAATGCTGAGCAAAATACTGCAAATAATGGTGGTAGTGGTGGTGGTATGTTGCAAGTTGAAGAAATAAAAATGGAACCCGATGTTAATGCTATGATGCAGGGTCATGATGATGATTATAATGAAGATAATTACCATCATAATGTACCCTCTCCCGATGTTGTTGTAGTGGATAGTGATACATCTGCAACAGATGCTTCGGAAAATGAAAGTGGTGGCAGAGCAATATCAGCACCCGCCTCATCCATTTCATATGAACAACCGTCCACTTCTGCTGCAGCAGCCTCAAATGCAAATGCTTCTAATCTTAATTATTTTATGGATACTCAACATTCAATTATAGACGAAGATATGTTGAAAAGAGCCGTGAAGAAAATTCGCTTTCTCACCATGACACCACAACAGTTTGCTGAGGGACCTGCGCGCTCTAAATTGCTGCAGCAACATGAAGCTTTGGCTATTCTCATCAAAATTTCCAGTCCTTCTATTAATGACTGTCCCATGCCAGAGGGTTTCTGTAGTTCACGTTGCAGTCGCAACTACTATGAACAACGCAGTAGTCAGCGTGATTTATCTGGTTTTCTACATATTCATACGCCTAATAATAGCTTCATACAGGGCAGTGGTAACATATGTAATTATGCTCCCATGGATGCATCTGTCGATCATGTTCAACCACAAATCTTAAGCTCAAATCGAACATGCAATTTACCAGCAAATAATAGCAATGCCCATAAATCTCGTGATAATACAGGTGTGTCTTTGGCAACTGGTGGTGGAGATTCAGATGTGGCTACGAACGACACTCGTCGTTCGTATTGTGTACGCACTGTTAATCCACAATTTGATTATCGTAATACTAGTGTTACCGATTGTGGTTTAACATTTCAGGTTGATACGAATATTTGGATAACAGGTAATGTGTAAATTTATACAGAATAATGTTCAACTAGAACTAAACTCAAACTGAACTAGAACTGAACTCAAACTGAACTAGAACTGAACTCAAACTGAACTAGAACCGAACTAGAACTGAACAATTTCTTAACTAGAACTGAATTAGAACTGAGCTAGAGCAGAACTAATTACCAATCTCATGTATTCGATGCCTGTATGGATCTTTTATTTTTTAATTTTATTTAATTTTTTTACATTTACAGGTGTCCAAGTACCCACCCAAGTACTTTGTGGTGAACTCATGAACTCAGCTGGTTTTTCTGAACGTTATACCGAAATTCTATATGCTCACATACAGGACATTCAAGGATCACGTCTTAGTTACACTCATTGTACATCACGCGTTCGCTATGATTCTCTGCTGGAAATCTCATTCGATCGTCCTGTCTATATCTATCGTAATCAAATCTACAAAGTGTTTGTTGTCTTTAATAAAATCGGTTGGTATCCCATGTATACATCTGTGCCGGATGTCATCTGTAATCGTGTTAAGTTTCGTTTTAATGTTGGCGATCCTGGTGAGTCGGTACGTGATGGTCTAATACGTGCCATTGTCTTTTCAACGCCACAAGACAATAGTAGACATATTTTGGAGTAAAAAGTATTATATAACGAACGAAAAAATATGATATTCAAGTTTTTAGTATAGAAAAGGAGAAGACTTTGTGGCAATATATGCACAATTTGTTAAAAAAAAAATAAATTCATGCTTATGATGAAAGAAATGCATGTGTTATGTTTTAGGTTTTGTTTTATTTTAAGAAGTATTATAGAATTGGAATCTCAGAAATAAATGTTTTGTTTTACAATGTCCATTAATTACATATATTATTTTTCGTGAGGTGTATAAAAAATTGCCATTTCATTTATAGCTTTTCTTTCAAAAATGGTATATTCTTTAGTGTAATACATATTTACTAAAACTAAAAGGACCGATATTTTTTAATTCACGCTTATCTATGAATGCGATTATATAATACATTTCCTAATAAATTGGAATTTATTTTTTCAATTAAAAAAGAGCGCACACTAATGTTTCAAATTGCATGCAACACAGAATCGAATATTATTATCATTTCTTGCATTGTGTCTTCTTCGAGAACCGCAAAAACCTTCTGGTACAGGAAAATGATCATTGTATGGACTACAGATTATTTTAAAAATTGCCAATCCTTCATGCGGTTTTATGTGTGGACTATTTGCAGGACCTTCAGCAAACTCCGTAGGTGTCATTGAAAGATAACGAACTTTCTTCAATGCCTTCGTAAAAAGATCAAGTTCCTCACCTTCAAGATGACTGAAATCTTCTTTAATTTTTTTTTCATTTTCAAACACGCCATCAATGTCTGAATCATTATCAGAATCATCACATAGTTCCTTATTAATAATAACAGTTGTTTTCTTTTTATAAGGAAAACGTAATACAACGTTATATAACTCGCATTCAGGGATATTCAAATAATCTTTATCCAAAATATCCAACAAGGTGCTCATTTTAATATTTGTAAAATTGCGTCCAGCTAAAACTCTACCAGCATAACCCGCTATATTCTACAAAAGGAATATAGAAATAAAAATAATTTTTAATCTTACATACAATATTTAATTAACGTTCTAAACACTTACTTCCATACTTCTACGCTTCAAATTCTTTTCATCGTAAAGTACTGCAAATTCATAAGCTTCACAGGCATTTTCCCAATTCAATTTGGAATAAATATAATCGCAACATTTTTTTACCATATCTACCAATAAATATTTTTTGCCTACGGCGCATAATTGAAGAGCCACGTTGGATGAACTAATATCAAAACAATCCGAGTAAATAAATTTTAACATGTCTTGGAAAATGTCCGGCTGAATGTCTGGTATAGGAATGGGATAACTTTTTTCAGCTAGATCACCATAAAACATTGCTTCAAAAACAGGTGAAGCCGTTGCCAATATTAGTTTATGTGCTGCAAATATTTTTTGATTTGATGTTTCCAAACCAACTAAAAAACTACAATCCGAAAATTTCTCCGACTGCAACATATCCCAATTGCGTTTTTTTATTCCTTCAAGGTCCATTGCTAAAGAAATGTTTAATTCTGTTTATTTTAATTAACACAAAGTTAATAACTTTTATTAAAGTATAAATAAAATAGTTCTTAGATGCGGTATGGTGGCAGATGACTGTGTTATCTGTTAAACTACACATATATGTATACATATAACACATCACTTTATACAATGCTAATTTATAAATGTACATACATACATATATTTTTCAAATTAAAAAATGGGGAATCCCTCCACCAAAGTAAATTTATAAAGTAGATCTACTATGAGTCTAGACTCATTTGAACAGCTGACTATTTTTTTAAACTTGCTATTTGTGGACTTACTTGTCAAAAATGTTTATGTTGCCATATTTGTTTTCATTTTAACGCTTGCTTTTGTACAAATTTCTGAGTAATTTGTTGTATTTAATGTGAAAAAGTGTATTTTAAGTGTATAATATTTTTAAAAATGTTCTAATTTTTAAAAAATAAAGAAAACTCAGTGACTTTTAATATAAATAACAACATATTTTTGGAAGGTACAACAATAATGCCATATTTTCCATTAATTATTGGTTCATTTTTGTAAACAAATTTTGACAAGTGAGTATTTCGAACAAAAACAAATTGCCTGTGGTTTTTGTAGACTTTTGTTGTACAACAACTCGTGTCGCTACTTTATTAATTTACTTTGCCCTCCACAAAGTTCATTGCATATTTATACAGGTGTTTAAAGCCCCCTTCACACGAGCACACAAGTAATATGATCTGTCAAAATTTTGTGTAGAAGAGAACGGATGGGATCGTCTAAACGCAATATGTAATGAAACCATCACACATTGAGAGAAAATACGGATGGAAAATTTGACAGTCGTATGGCTCTCTTCATTTTTTGAAATGATTCAAAAAACAAGCAAGTCGCATCAGATCAGGGATGTATTTTTATGTAAACACATACAAAAAAAGTGAAACAGCTGTTCCATCTTACTTTGTTATTGTTTTATACCAATCGTGTAAACACAAAAAATATAAATCATACGACTTTTATTCTCTTTTTTGTCATACGGATGGAATTTCATTTTACTTTTTCATTAGACTTGTCGTACGTAAAGTGTGACCGTGTGAAGGGCCCTTAAGTGATATGTAATATATATTAGCTTGATTTATACTACTGTCAAACTACACATAAAAAACGACTGCAATTGGATTTCTCTCAGATGCATTCACCTAATAAATATGCATTGACTTCTTCCCCTACAACAAATGTATGACCGAAACTAACACATACAAAATGATTATACTAACACACATTTTTTTAATTTGGTAAGAAAAAATAATTAATAGTTAATAATTCCATCAATAATGACCGATAAAATGACTGTTGATGTACCTAATGTTTGTTAAAGGCAGGGTGCACTTATAAGGTGAAGTCAATTCAACAGCTGATCACAATTTTTTTTATTTGAGGTAGATACAACTGTCAAAGTACACCATTTAGAGTTGCCACAATCCGAAAAAATATGTACATCTATCTGGGGATGCATTATATTTTTAGGACAAAAAATGAATAAATAAATTTTATATTCATTTTAATCCGTAGTAAATTTATGCGAAATACTCAAAAATTGCACAAACTATTTGTCTTAAATATGCATCTATTTTATCAATTATAGGGAACTTTTTACTAATCAATTGAGAGTACAAATTGTAAATAAAATTATTAAAACTCGATTTTATCATAGATATCTTAATTTTTAACAAATTTCCATGGGTGGTTTGGTCACAATTCTAAAAAGATCATTATATATTTCTTATACGACAATAGTAGAGACCTACACGGTATTATAAGTTCCCAATATTGACTCATAAAAAATAATATGTATGTAATTTGTATTTTTGCTACTACTTACAATTTTGTAATCTAATACTAATTTTTTGTTATTTTAATTGATAATTTATTTACTTTTTTAATAAGTAAATAATAAATAATATTCTACCCCCTTATTCACAAACAACATTTTTATTTTATAAAAGGTTTCCATACAAAATACCGTTTATAAAATAAAAATTTTGTTTGTGAATAATTTTTCAATTCATGTATAATTTTTAATAAATTTTATCTTATAATACATATTTACTTTACGTGAAGAGATTTTTGGGCATGTGGGATTGTCTTTTTGTAAGGCAAATTAAAAAAAACACGGTGGCAACATGTAAATTTTTTGACAGAAGTATCTACTTTTGTTGTTTTTGTAGAATTGACATCACCTTATAAGTGCATCCTGTACCCCGTTTCTGTAACTTTTAGTGAGAAGTTCTCACATCGAGAAGTGTGAAACAAAAAATTCCATCGTTTCTCGATTTGTGAGTAAAAAGTGTTTCTGTAACTTAAAGTGAGAAGAGGCTACACGAATTACGTTTTTATTGGAGAAACTTCTCACAAAATTTTCTTACAGAAACACTTTTACTCACAAATTTCCAATAACTTACTTCAAAAAACATAAATGACAGATAGTTCTCACAAAATTTTCTTACAGAAACACTTGCATGTGAGAAATGATATTTTGTTTCAATTACACATTGCGAGAGTTACAGAAACGAGGCACTGGGTAAAACGTTTCATTTGCATATGAACCCTACCCTATAAGAAATGAATGACCGAAACTAACACATACAAAATGATTTTACTAACACACATGCAACATTTTTTTTATAGAATTGTCGAAAAAAAAATTAATGGATAATTCCATCAACAATGACGGTAAAATGACCGTTACTGGACCCAATGTGTGGTATAGGGTTGAATTTGCATATGAAAGAATGAAACAACTACATTTTGATTAAAATGTATTAAAATTTATATTTTGATCAACAATGACAGCCAAATGACCGATCAAATGACTGTCACTGTGTTACAGAGTTGTATTTTTCGTCGTTACAAATTAATTGTTTCTGCGAAAGCCAAAGATCAAGAAGCGAAGAAATAAAAAAATTACAAAGTCTTTAAATTATTAAAAATAAAGAGAATTATTATAAACTAAATTTTAAAAAAGCTTAGGAAGTGGATCAGAAGATAAACAATTCGGAGTTTAATCAATCAATGGTAACATAAATATGTACTTATGATTTTTATATTTCGATATTTATGAATACTTATGTATTTCTTTACAGACAACATATTTCCACAAATTAATAGGAGCATCAGAGGACTTAAGATTCTGCGAGATATGTAAAATGGTGAAAAGACTGGTAATTTATGTATATGATTACTATATTAATAAAATTAACAATATATATATTAAAATATCAATAAATTGTGTTTTATTATAAATTCGTATAGCCGTCAGATTTGACGGATATATTCATCAAGTGTGATTAGTCAACAATGACCGATTAATGCATCATTTTTTTATTTGTTAACTGTGATGGATATATCCATCAAGCATGATTAGTCAATCATGACTAATATTTATATCATCCATGATTAGTAAACAACAAAAGAGTGAGCAGCTCAAATATATGTTTTAAAGTCGATAGAATTCATAAGTGCGAGGGTGATGCAACATCGCATGTACACAAATGTTTCCATCACTTTTTACATATTGCCCTTAAGAAAGTGATGGGAGCTTTGTTCTACGCAATGATGGGTATATTCTCAGTAGTGACAGTCAATTGACCGGTCAAATGACTGTCACTGTTCTTATAGGGTATAAGAACAGTGACAGTCATTTGACCGGTCAATTGACTGTCACTACTGAGAATATACCCATCATTGCGTAGAACAAAGCTCCCATCACTTTCTTAAGGGCAATATGTAAAAAGTGATGGAAACATTTGTGTACATGTGATGTTGCATCACCCTCGCACTTATGAATTCTATCGACTTTAAAACATATATTTGAGCTGCTCACACTTTTGTTGTTTACTAATCATGGATGATATAAATATTAGTCATGATTGACTAATCATGCTTAATGGATATATCCATCACAGTTAACAAATAAAAAAATGATGCATTAATCGGTCATTGTTGACTAATCACACTTGATGAATATATCCGTCAAATCTGACGGCTATACCAATTTATAATAAAACACAATTTATTGATATTTTAATATATATATATATATTGTTAATTTTATTAATATAGTAATCATATACATAAATTACCAGTCTTTTCACCATTTTACATATCTCGCAGAATCTTAAGTCCTCTGATGCTCCTATTAATTTGTGGAAATAAGTTGTCTGTAAAGAAATACATAAGTATTTATAAATATCGAAATATAAAAATCCTAAGTACATATTTATGTTACCATTGATTGATTAAACTCCGAATTGTTTATCTTCTGATCCACTTCCTGAACTTTTTTAAAATTTAGTTTATAATAATTCTCTTTATTTTTAATAATTTAAAGACTTTGTAATTTTTTTATTTTTTCGCTTCTTGATCTTTGGCTTTCGCAGAAACAATTAATTTGTAACGACGAAAAATACAACTCTGCAACACAGTGACAGTCATTTGATCGGTGCAATGAAGACAAAAGTCGAAAAAAATCGGGAAAAAGGTCAAAAAGCCATAAAATGGAACATTTTACGTTTTAGACTAGACTATAGCCTAGGCTATATTCTAGACTAAACTAAAGTCTAGACTATTGGTATTTACACAACGATTAATTAAAAAAATAATGGTACTATATTCGGCAATGTCGAATTCGATAGTATATATTGTTTAAAAATTATCTTTACTTATGTTTACTTGAAAAACTTTAAGACCGGGTTTTTGAGATGGTAATCAAATGCCAATTAATAATCAGATTAGTTAATCTAAAAATAAATTTAATCTTATGTTAATCCCCTTTGATGTTTTTGAGTACAAGATTAAACTTCGCAGTGTTGCCATACAAAACAACAGAAAACTTCACTGTTTGTTATCAAAACAATGCATATTTTATAAAAAGAAGAAGACAATTGTAAATTTAATATGAAAATTAATGAAAACTTAAATTAAAAACAAAAAAATGTATTTTGAAGTGTCCATAATTTATACTAATCAATAAATAGAACATTTTAATGTTTATATTTATAAAAAATTTATTAATTTTTTTGCATCAGCTGTTTACAAAAGTTGCATTTCGTGCTTAAGATTAAACCACCTCCATTGGGCGCTTAAACTTGCAAACAAAATTAACTAATTGAGTACTCAAAAACATCTTTCGAGGTTTAATTTTAATTTAATCGCTAATCTTTCACCTAAAGATTGGCCATAAAAGTTTAACTTTTCTTTTCATTTTTATGTTTTACATAAAATAATAAAATAAAAGTTATGGCAAAATAAAATTCTGCAAATTACAAACGTAATGATAAATTATATATACCACTCTCAAAAGGGATAGGGTATACAAATAAAATGAACGGTTTATTTCATGATAAAAATAAAAATTTGAAAAACAATACAAATTACATACATTTGCATAAAACTTCATATAATAAAATAAAAATTGTCGTACAAAATTAAACATTTCTTGCGATGGAATTTAAAGGAATTAAGGAAAATATTTCGTGCTTGCTACAGTCGGAGGAATTAACCGATTGTCGTTTTCTAGTTGGTGATGCATCACCTAATCAAAAAATAATTTCAGCACATAAGCTAGTCCTTGCAGTAGCTTCCCCTGTTTTTAAAACAATGTTTTATGGTGATCTAGCAGAGAAAAATGATCCCATACTTATACCGGATATTCAGCCAGATATTTTTCAAACAATGTTAAAATTTATTTATTCGGACTACATTGATATTAGTTCAAGTTATATGGCCGTTCAATTGTGCTATGCAGGTAAAAAATATCTATTATCGGATATGGTAAAACATTGTTGCGATTACATGTTTTCAAGATTAAATTGGAAAAATGCATGCGAAGTCTATGAATTTGCAGTACTTTACGGCGAAGATAATTTGAAGCGTAAAAGTATGGCTGTAAGTAGTACATATTTAAGGAATTTTTTGAAATAATAAAAACTAGGAAATTTAAATACTAATTTCATTTGCAGATAATAGCGGCTGAAGCTCAACGTATTTTTTCTCTCAGTAATTTTGCCAACATTAAAATGTCTACCTTATTGGACATTTTGGATGAAGATTGGTTGAATATTAAGTCTGAATTGGAATTATATCGCGTTTTATTACGCTTTCTTCATAACAAAGTTAGTGATCTGGATAATAATAATAATAATCTATGTAAAAGCGATGAGACTTATGCTGATGTCGTAATAATGGATGAAAACCTATCTGAAGCTGAAAAGGAAAACAACATTACTTTGTCATCATCAATTACTGCGGTCACGGAAAATGTCGAACAACTTGAGGATAAAGAAATTGTTGCATTAGAAAAGGCATTTAAAAAAATTCGTTATCTTTCAATGACACCAGAAGAGTTTGCAGAAGGTCCTGCAAACTGTCGATTCATTAAAATGCATGAAGCTTTTTCGATTTTTTTAATAATCTCGAGTACATCCAATACACTTTTACCTATACCCGAAGGTTTTAGTAGTTGCCGTAGAAGTCATTGTGAGAGAGAACCAACTAAACAGGAAGAAATATTTGTGGAATATAATAGTCCAGTTGAAGATCTTTTCTAAAAATCAATATACACAAAATTATGAATTGCGCTAATAGGTAGTAATTATACTATGAGATGTAAACTATTCGCCAATTAATTTCACATGTGAATAACATAAAATAAACTTATCAATATGTATATCAATTGATAGTTTGAACCGATCCAAGTTTTAGTTGCTAATACAATTTCTATTAATATTAGATTTATATCTGCAAAATTTAGTATTAAATATTTTACAGAGTCGGAAAATTATATTGTAGAAATTACAGACGGAATGATAAACTTATATATGTACTATATCCTTTTCACGAAGCTGAAGGGGATAAAAACTATTTTCGTTTTTTTTCACAGATTTATTTTATATTTTATAAAAAAGGTCGACAAAAACTTCGACTTTTTCTCAATCGTGCTTTTTTTTTATAAATTTTAACAAACTGGCAGCGTTGAAACAATATAACCAACCTATAAGTGATTTATATGGCAACTCTGTTTCAATGTTTTTCATCAATTCCTTCTTTTTGCATTTTCGCGTTCATTTATTCTGTAAAAAATAGAGAAAAAATAATTTTAATTTTTGTGGGAAATTTTTTTTAAAGAAAATCAAAAATATTATTATTAAGTGCGTACAAAGTGAAGTGAAAATATAAGTTTTAACAATGGAATTAGATTGGCAACATGAGTTTCACGAAATTAAAGATCGCGCCCTAAATTTGTTGCAGACAGAAAAATGGGCGGATTGTCGTTTCTTGGTTGGTGGTGCACCGCCCAATCAAAGAATAATTGCTGGTCATAAAATAATCTTGGCTATGGCTTCGCCAGTATTTGAGAGAATGTTTTTTGGTCCGTCGGCAGCTAAAGATGATCCGATTGTTATACCAGATGTACAGCCAGATGCTTTCCAGGCGATGTTGGAATACATTTACTCAGATCGCATAAATATCAGTTCATTTGATAAGGCCTGTGAGCTATGCTATGTGGCAAAAAAATATAAATTACCCCATGTGGTGGGTCAGTGCACACATTTTTTGTGGTCGGACTTGAGTCCGAGAAATGCCTGCCGGGCATATGAGTTTGCCAAGCTTTTTGAGGAGTCACGTTTGATGCAAAAAAGTATGGAGGTAAGTTGCAAATGCAAAGTGACGTTTGGGATTTTATATGATTACTGTTGTTTTCTCGTTAAGTTAATTGCTGATCATACACGAGAAGTTCTAGCTGATCCCAGTTTTATGGATATTGAAATGTCCACATTAATGGCTATTTTGGATCAAGATAAATTAAATATAGACTCTGAATTGGACTTATTTAATGCTCTTTTGCGTTTTGCCAATGAACGTGGAGTGCAACAGGCTGGGCCACAAAATGAGCAGGGTGCTAGTGAGGGCGGTTTGCTAAGTGTCGAAGAAATTAAAATGGAACCAGATGTAAATGCCATGATGCAGGGTCATGATGAGCATTATATGGAAGGCAATGGCGATAATAATTCTTATCATGATAATGCACCTTCCCCGGATGTTGTAGTGGTAGTAGATAGTGATGCATCTGTGGCAGATGCTGAAGAAAATGAAGAGGCTTCAGCTTCATATGGTCAACCTGCAACTTCGGCCGCAGCTGGGGCAGCTGCTAATCTCAATTATTTGATGGATGCTCAACGTTTTGTTGTAGACGAGGAAATGTTGAAAAAAGCAGTTAGAAAAATACGTTTTCTTACCATGACTCCACAGCAGTTTGCTGAGGGTCCCGCGCGCTCTAAACTATTGCAACAACATGAAGCTTTGGCCATTCTAATAAAAATTTCTAGTCCTTCCATTAATGACTGTCCCATGCCGGAGGGTTTTTGTAGTTCACGTTGCAGTCGCAACTACTATGAACAGCGTAATAATCAACGGGATTTATCAACATTCCTAAATACACACCCGTCGAACAACTTTTTTGCTGCTAGCAGCAGTAGTGGCGGTGGAACTGGTGTTGGTGTTGTAAGTGCAAATAGTTTTCCTTCTTTGGACGCACCAGTGGTTCATATTCAACCACAAATTCTTAGCTCAAATCGTAATTCAATGCTCAATTATGGTCACAAACCGCGAGAAAATGTTGGCATGTCATTGGTTACGGGTGCTGGAGATTCTGGAGATGGTGCTACTCACGATACACGTCGTTCGTATTGTGTACGCACGGTTAATCCTCAATTTGATTATCGTAATACAAGTGTAACCGATTGCGGTTTAACATTTCAAGTTGATACAAATATTTGGATAACAGGTAATGTGCCAAATTCGTAATTGTTAAATTTAACAAAATAAAGGATTGATTCGTTGATATATAGAGGCGGGGGGCTCTATAATATTTTTATTAAAAATTTTAATGACACTGGAGTTTTAAACAAAATATAAATTTTTAGTGAAAATTGGATTTCAGATGGACAAAACACTAGAACTGAACTAGAACTGAACTAGAACTGAACTAGAACTGAACTAGAACTGAACTAGAACTGAACTAGAACTGAACTAGAACTGAACTAGAACTGAACTAGAACTGAACTAGAACTGAACTAGAACTGAACTAGAACTGAACTAGAACTGAACTAGAACTGAACTAGAACTGAACTAGAACTGAACTAGAACTGAACTAGAACTGAACTAGAACTGAACTAGAACTGAACTAGAACTGAACTAGAACTGAACTAGAACTGAACTAGAACTGAACTAGAACTGAACTAGAACTGAACTAGAACTGAACTAGAACTGAACTAGAACTGAACTAGAACTGAACTAGAACTGAACTAGAACTGAACTAGAACTGAACTAGAACTGAACTAGAACTAACTAGAACTGAACTAGAACTGAACTAGAACTGAACTAGATCTGAACTAGATCTGAACTAGAACTGAACTAGAACTGAACTAGAACTGAACTAGAACTGAACTACAACTTCAGTTATTAAAGTATATAGTTCATTAAAAAAAGAATACAAGTTTTAGCAAAAAAAGTTTACAAAAAGTTAAAGTTTCCTAAAAAATGTCGAATTTAAAAAATACTGCTTTCACAGTGTATCTTTAAAATACTTGCAATTATCTCAGTCGCAAAACTACATCGTATTTTTGGAATATTTTACTATTTCGCATTTTCAGGTGTCCAAGTACCCACCCAGGTACTTTGTGGTGAACTCATGAATTCCGCTGGTTTTTCCGAACGTTACACCGAAATTCTCTACGCCCATATACAAGACGTACAAGGATCTCGACTCAGCTACACACATTGGACATCCCGCGTCCGCTATGATTCCCTGCTAGAAATCTCATTCGATCGTCCCGTCTATATCTACCGCAATCAGATCTACAAAGTTTTTGTAGTATTTAATAAAATCGGTTGGTATCCCATGTATACATCTGTGCCGGATGTCATCTGTAATCGTGTTAAATTTCGTTTTAATGTTGGTGATCCTGGTGAGTCGGTACGTGATGGACTGATACGCGCCATTGTCTTTTCAACGCCACAGGACAATAGTAGAAATATACTGGAGTAAAATGCCAGTTGGATGTGAGTTTAGGAGTAAAGAAGACTTTATGGCAATATATAAGCACAATTTGTTGGAAAAAAAGTATTTTTCTTCTTTTTATACTGTATTTTTTAAATGAAATTTGCAAATTGTAATTTAAGTTTTATTTTTATAAAGTATTAATTTGGGTCTCTCATAAATAAATATTTTTTTCTTTAAAGTGTATTTTCTTTTATTTGAATGGTTTTAATTGTTTATTTGAAACCTTAACTGATCCATTTATGTATAATTTTTGATTTTAGGAGATTTTCCATTAATAGGTTTAAAATTCCTTTTTATATTATTCTTGCTCTTTTTTAATTTTGTCCCAAATTAAAACAAATGTTGTAGTGTTTAAATTTAATGTCGTTATTTTTTAATTTCTGGGATGATTTAAATGTAAAACACCGCTTTTTAAAGCCATCATTTTTTTACTAATAAATAAAACATCATTTTTATTATTATTGCTTATTTGTTCATATTTTTCTTTAAGGTCTTTTTACAATTAAGGGCAAATATTTCAACAATTTAATTAAGGGACTTAACCAATAGGAATACACATATTAAAAAAAAGATTTACATACATATAATAAACAATTGATAAACTATTTACACAAAAATAAAACGGAGATTATTTAAAGGACATGTGCTGTTGTTAAATTTTTTTATAGAAAAAAAGTAAAAGTTTTCAAAGAGTAAGAATTTTATTTTCCAAATCCACCACCGCATTTTGAATGAGCCTCTTCAGGATCTTCACAGGTTAATGTGGTTTCATCGAATACTTTATCTTCACCACAGGTAATAAGACGTGGGTGTCCTTCGACACAAGTGATTAAACGATGACAGTCGCCGGGTACAGCGAAACGTGGGAAAGGCCAGAAACGGGCAGCTGGACCATCAACCTTAGTTGGGCACTTGAAGCCGACAACAGCTGAAATTTAATTTTTGAAACAGAAAATTTTAGTTTTTATGTTATTTTGGTTGGGGGTGAAATAAAAAGACTAGTTTTTGTAATCAGAACTTTAACGGAAAGATCTAAAACTGAACTAGAACTAGAACTGAACTAGAACTGAACCAGAACTGAACTAGAACTGAACTAGAACTGAACTAGAACTGAACTAGAACTGAACTAGAACTGAACTAGAACTGAACTAGAACTGAACTAGAACTGAACTAGAACTGAACTAGAACTGAACTAGAACTGAACTAGAACTGAACTAGAACTGAACTAGAACTGAACTAGAACTGAACTAGAACTGAACTAGAACTGAACTAGAACTGAACTAGAACTGAACTAGAACTGAACTAGAATAGAACTGAACTAAAAACTGAACTAGAAATGACTAGAACTGAACTAAACTTAACTAGAACTGAACTAAAAGGACTAGAACTGACTAACTGTAACATATACTGAAATAGAACTGAACCCTAGAACTGAACTAGAACTGAACTAGAACTGAACTAGAACTGAACTAGAACTGAACTTAGAACTGATGAACTAGAACGAACTAGAATGAACTAGAACTGAACTATAACTGAACTAGAACTGACTAGAACTGAACTAGAACTGACTAGAACTGACTAGAACTGAACTAGAACTGGAACTAGAACTGACTACAACTGAACTAGAACTGAATTAGAACTGAACTGAAATGATAGAAACTGACTGAACTAGAACTGAACTAGAACTGAACTAGAACTGAAAACTAGAACTGCAACTAGAACTGAACTAGAATTGAAACTAGAATTGTAAACTAGGAACTGAACTAGAAACTGAACTAGAACTGAACTAGAACTGAACTAGAACTTAACTATAACTGAATTACAACCGAAGCAGAACTGAGATAATACTGATCTGGAATTAAGCAAATTTTTTTTGATAACAAAATTAAATAACCCTAAAAGAAATTACCTTCTGGATTACAAGTTTCCAACAATTGATCGGGCCAGTTACAGCCATGTATACGTTCATCATAAGCCAAACCAGCATCACATTCTTGTTCAATTGGCTCACCATGGGCACACTTAATATAGGTGGTTGAACATTCTTTCGAAACGGGATAAATACCAAATTGATACTCACAACCAGGTGTTGAAATGGGTGTAGCTAAAAAAATTTATTACATAACAGAAAATAATTATTATTGCAAAGTTTAATGAAATTGTTTTTAACAACATACGATCCCATTGTCTGCCCTTGCAGTCCACAGCCCAGTTGTAGTTGCAATGATTGTGTACAGCTCCCTTGCCATCGAACAACAAACCATTTTCACACGTTTCCAAAGTTATAGTGCCATTGGTGCATAAAAAGAATTGATCACAATGTTCGGTATGGGCATAAGCCTGAACGCCATATTTCTCGGGACATTCAATCGATTCGACGGGTACACAGTGCACTGAAGAGAGAAAGAGAAAATTGAATATATTTGAAAGTTTATACATTTTTTTGGATTTATTTTCAATTTCTCTATAAGGTCAAGGACTTTTAAAATTCATGTAATACCTATATACCATATACCTACATGTACATATAACTGTTAAATCTTGTATAAACACTTCAGCAAACTAACCCACTAAATATAAAATTTAATCTCATCTTTACAAACAGGAACTTAATTTTTAAGTCGACAATTTTTGTGTGTGAAAATTTTACAATCAAAATAATAATATCGGAAGTATTTTTTTGTCTTCGTTAACATACATTTATATACTACGAAAAATCCCGACTGTCATCAGCATCTTCTTACATTTCTTTTAGTTTTGGTTTCCTTAATAAATCGGTATGAGAAATACTACTATAAAAAAATGTCATTCAATGCAGTGTCTACACAAACACCCAGACAGACACCCATTACCATTATACATAGTCCGCAAGATGTTAAACGGGTTTTCGAAATTGCTCATCTTCACAATTGCTATTATCAAGTATTAAACAGTTATTTAATTTTATTTACAGTTAAATGCACGAAAGTGAAACAAGTTTGTGTGTGTGTGTTTTTTTTTTTTTTTGCATTTTAAAGTGACGTAACTATTTGAAAATGTTGTGGGTTTTAGGAGTTGAACAAAAAATTTATACTGAAATCCATGAATGAAACTTTAGCAATGCGCTTGTAAATTGTTTTTGGTTTCGTAAAATTTGTATGGGACTTAACGCGTTTATATAGCTTTATGACATCCCCTGACATTTTCATATATTTTATCAAATTTCCTGAACACAAAATCTGCACATTGTCAACAGTAGGGATAAAACCTGATGACTTCTTATGTATTTAGCCGAAGGTCAGCACGCCTAATGACTTTTCAGATAATTATTACAAAAATTGTTAAAGTTTAAATATAAAGAAATTTTACAATTAATTTTTCACCAGTAATTAATTTTTTTTATTAAAAAATGAAGCAAAAAAATTGTTTTCAACGACATATACATAATATAAAACTATAATTCATATATTTACATATGTCCAAAAATATTCAAATTTAAAAAAAAATAACAAATTTTCTAAATTTTGAATATTTTTCGATTTACAATAAAATTTTATTTTCAAAGACCTTTCATATGATATACAATTTTTATTAACCTCTAAAAAACTTTTTATACATTAATCCACTTAAACAAATACTCACACAAGACCACGAATATTGAGAAACTCTCATATTAAATATTGTTTTTGGGGCCATCCTAATGTACATACATGCATATGTATGTATGTTGATAAAGTTTAGGTTTAATTAAAATTTATTTATTAACAATAAAAATCTTATTTTTATAACACTTCTTGATTTTTTTTTTTCATTTCAGAAAAATCTTGAAATTATATATTAGTGTTGATGCATTCATATAAATCGGTAAGTTTTTAAATAAAATTAATACCTAAGACTAATATTTCAATGTGTTACAAATGGAATGACAGATTATTGATGACAAAAAAATGTCTATTCTAAAAAGTTGAAAATTTCAGTACTTTAGTACTTTTTTCAGTACTATTTGAAATCCCGAAAAATACCGCTGTACCCCTGTGACATTTTCAGTACTTTTTCGAATTTATAAACTTTTGATAAGTATATACCAGTCTATAGGATAAAGAATAGTTAATAGTCTAGTCTATAGTCTAGCCTATAGTCTAATCTATAGTTTAGTCTATAATCTAGCCTATAGTCTAGTCTATATACTAGCTTATAGTCTAGTCTATATTCTAGCCTATAGTCTAGTCTATTGCCTCAGTAGTCTATAATCTAATATATCATTTAGTATAGTCTATAGTCTAATCTATAGTCTAGTCTATATTCTAGCCTATAGTCTAGTCTATAGGCTAGTCTAGTCTATAGTCTAGACTTTATTCTAGCCATAGACTAGTCTATATTCTAGCCCATAGTCTATTCTTTTTCTAGCTTATAGTCCAGTCTATAGCCTAGTCTATAGTCTAGTCTATAGTCTAGTCTATAGTCTAGTCTATAGTCTAGTCTATAGTCTAGTCTATAGTCTAGTCTATAGTCTGGTCTATAGTCTAGTCTATAGTCTAGTCTATAGTCTAGTCTATAGTCTAGTCTATAGTCTAGTCTATAGTCTAGTCTTGCATATAGTAGACTATAGTCCAATCAATAGTGTAGTCCGCACTATAGTTTAGTCTATACTTTAGTCTGTAATGTAGTCTGTAATGTAGTCTATAGGTTAGTCTATAGTTTAGTCTATAGTTTAGTCTATAGTTTAGTCTATAGTTTAGTCTATAGTTTTGTCTAGTCTAGTCTATAGTTAGTCTATAGTCTAGTCTATAGTCTAGTCTATAGTCTAGTCTATAGTCTAGTCTATAGTCTAGTCTATAGTCTAGTCTATAGTCTAGTCTATAGTCTAGTCTATAGTCTAGTCTATAGTCTAGTCTATAGTCTAGTCTATAGTCTAGTCTATAGTCTAGTCTATAGTCTAGTCTATAGTCTAGTCTATAGTCTAGTCTATAGTCTAGTCTATAGTCTAGTCTATAGTCTAGTCTATAGTCTAGTCTATAGTCTAGTCTATAGTCTAGTCTATAGTCTAGTCTATAGTCTAGTCTATAGTCTAGTCTATAGTCTAGTCTATAGTCTAGTCTATAGTCTAGTCTATAGTCTAGTCTATAGTCTAGTCTATAGTCTAGTCTATAGTCTAGTCTATAGTCTAGTCTATAGTCTAGTCTATAGTCTAGTCTATAG